AGTGAAAATGAAATAGGAAGAGTACAACTAGATGATTGGAGCTCTGGGAAGAGATGATGAAACTCAACTAAGCCATTTGGAGGTTGATTTTTTGATATATTACCATTGCAATAATCACTTTGAACGACGAACGCTAAAACTCTGAAGGAAATTGAGTGTTGTGTCTATTTTTTTTTTTGTGCATTTTTTTGTTTGTTTCACCCTACACTGAAAGGTAATGGGTATTACTACTGCTACTACTACTTCAAGTGAGACGAAAATACTTTCGTCTTATACATTTTTTCAAAATGCTTAACGGCCTCTCTCCCTTATCTAGACTAAACCTTATCCAATACGGTCAATCTAGAAGATAGCCGTCTTAATCATTCGAGAACAGTAGAAACTTCCTGTGCTAGAACACAAACCGTTCTCCAATCATTTATTTGCCAAATAGCCCGAGACTGGAATTTAACGCTTCCGAAAGTTGTTGTTACATCACCCACAATAAAGTCGTTCAAATTACGTTTTGTACTGTTCAATGTATGTTGGAGAGTGTCAGTAGCTCTCCGTACCACCTCTAAGCCTGGTGGCGTTAGTAGCTCTTGATAACACCAAATAGGCGTCAATAACTTTTCTTGACACCTGTTCGATGGCAGGCCTTGGTTCGGTCGCTAAATGCTGGAGGTATCAATAGCCCTTCAAATTACCTCCACTAGGTGTCAATAGTCCTTACTGCTACCTCATGCGATGTGAATAGCCATTCCGAGTAATGTATCTAGCACAATCTGAGACTAAATCTTCCGTATACATTTTTATTAAGGTGGAAGATGCAAACTATAGTCCTATTCAAATAACAACCTAGGCCTTGTTTCTGGGTAAACCAGAAATGGTATTTCGTTACTCACTCTCATGCTCCGCGCCTCCCTCTCCTGCTCTCTCTGTAAATATCTGGACATCTAAGCAGTCTATAAAATATGGACCTGCACACACGGTAAATATTTGAGTATCAAATACTAAGGTTTTGCATTTTAACAAAATGCCAAATACGACTTTGCGAGACGCAAATTCATCTCTTTTTGGATTCTGAAATGCAAAATGTTAGAAAAAGTCGAAATTACAGGTTGTAGTTTTCTAAAAGGAAAATACCACATCTGCATGTTAGTCATTATGCGACATGTTAAAGCGCTAACAGAAACATTGTTCATCGTTTGTATATAATAATTCAAAAAGTATTGAGTATTCTACTGTCTATACGCTTTATCGTCTAAAGAATAAATCAAGCAATAGTTTCTGGAAAACGATAAATATTAACTTGATTTGAATTCTTTATAGCATATTTATACTTATCATGAAAATTTAAATGCATATGATACGTATGTGGTTGAATGAGAAAATTGAAGCAGTTTATAGCACGACGGATACAAAAAATCTTCATAAAATTGTCATAGGTCAAACACGTTCATTGCATTAAATACCATCTTGGTCGATACTTACCAGGGACCGTCCTAAGGTGCCCGGTCAATTTTTCAACAATAACCTTTACATATATTTATGAATATTTTATTTATTTATATAAATATATCCTTTAACGGGTGGGCCAGAATAAATTAGACTGTTTATATTTTCAAATTTTCTCCTCCTCCTTACACTTGTTTGAGCTAGCTTTTTTACCAAAAGATTTCCTGTTGAATTCTCTACAAAAAATATATTGACTGTTTTATTGCAAAATCCGAAGGTGTAAAATACCATGAGAAATGGTGAGAAGTACTAAAATGTTGAAAAAATAAACGTATCTTTTCAAAGAGAGCGAAATTTTTTTGAACGGTTTCGCAAACATTAAAACACGGTTCCAGTATATTTTTGTGTAGTTTCAAATATGCTCTTTCTCGTCGTCTAGAGCGAAAATTGTTTGAATCTAATATCCGGCGCAAAAATTCATTTCTCAGCAATTCAGTGAAAATAGCCAAAGTTGTTACCTTTTTTTTGCTTGATGGAACAAAACGAAATCTTAGAGAACCGATCATAACGGCAAATTATATTTTTTCAAAATTAAAAAAATCAATCTGAATGGATCAAGTTTGACTAAGCTTTATTTGTTTTATTGGAAGGATCAAATTATTGGTAAAAAATCGTCATTTTTTGAAAAATTAGCAAAAAATAATGAAATTCTTGCGTCCTCAATTCTAACTGAAAATTATTTAAATTACAGATGGAAAATAGATCTTTTCGAGGCGTACACAATGGCTACTTCAGCTTTCCTCTCTCATAAACTTTCAGTAAATAATACTAAAAAAGCTGTAAATACGTTTATTTTTTCAACATTTTAGTACTTCTCACCATTTCTCATGGTATTTTACACCTTCGAATTTTGCAATAAAACAGTCAATATATTTTTTGTAGAGAATTCAACAGGAAATCTTTTGGTAAAAAAGCTAGCTCAAACAAGTGTAAGGAGGAGAAGAAAATTTGAAAATACAAACAGTCTAATTTATTTTGGCCCACCCGTTATATTCTCTAATAAAAATATAAGGACAAAACCAATCCATTCTTTTTTTCACGTATATGACTTCATTGACGAAGAACATACTGACTTATTGGGGAGAGAGAGCGTACCGAAACCAGAACAAGAAAGCAATGGACTAAGAAAGGTTAAAGATTGAAAATTTTTTGAAAAACTGGTAGATTTTATTATTTAAACTATGATCAATTACCATCTTACATGTCAAGAATGGACGTAGAGTAATAAAATTAATATAATAAATGAACAAAATGCTACTTTGTGAAGTCACCCTCACCCTCACCCTTTAAAAGAAAAAAAAGAATATTTGATATACCATGTGTATTGAAACAATTAAATTTTTGTTCGGCGTCTAATTATTATTGCTGTTGCCAATTGTTCAATATATAGCATTTGTTATATTTCTTATGTTTTTGTGTGCATTTATAGCTAAAGTAAGAAAAATAAAAAAGTCAATCCAAAACAAGCGGATGGGCAAGCTAAAACATCATCTCACACTGGAATCGACAAAAAAGAATTTTTTTGATTTCGGAGTCTGTTTCAGAATTTTTCAATGTGGCAATGGAAACAAATTCTGTTACCAAACACATTATTCTAAAAAAAATCATTTCGGCATATTTCAGACTACCTCTGAAGAGACCAAAAGCATTTTTGGTCTGGATACAGGACACAACCTGTAGAATATTTTCTAACGGACTCTTTTAACCAAATGCGCTTTTATCCATGAAAATTAACTTTTTTTTAAACTTACAGTTTGTACTACTGATCAGCGTAAAATTCTGTATCTAATCCATGCTGCCTTAAGAAAACTTGAAGAAAAACGTATTCCGAAAATCCCGCGGAGAACTGAAGGCGACAAAAACCTCATATCCCAATTCCCTAAGCGAAGTAGTGTAAAACCATCTCAGTGATCTTTCGACATGTTTTCAATGGGAAAAGATCGATTCCATTGTGGGAGGGTTTCCCAGCGCCACGTTGTTTCCTTCATTTTCCTAAAACTCTTACTCACTGGCGTTACTATAATAATGCATCTTAAACCGAATGGAAGCAGGTTTGACGAACTATCAACTATATTTATCGGTCTAAATATTATTAATTTTATATTAAATAATTAATTACTCACCGCTTCGAATTAAAACTCGTATCTCTGAAATATGTATCTTTTATCATTTGTTTCATCAAGAATTTCCTGAATAATGTTCATAAATACTTTTGTTTAATAATCTTCATCGTATTTTTATATTAACTAATTACTTTATTCACCGATTAAAACTAAAAGTCGTATCTCTGAACTATGTATCTTTTATCATTTGCTTGACCAGGCTTTTGTTTAATGACATTCATAAATTGTTTTATTGAATGATCTTTATAGTATTTTTATATTAACTAAGTAATTATTCACCGGTTCAGACTAAAAGTCGCATCTGTGCACTATGTATCTTTTATGCTTTGTCTGATCAGGGTTTTCGTTAATAATCTTGATAAATATCCTTGTTTAATAACCTTCAAAAATTGTTTTATTTACTAATTCTCAGAAATACTTCTGTTTAATAATCGTCATCATTTTTTCCATTTCATAATCTTCATAAATTGTTTTATCTAACATAGTTTTCATTAAGATTTAAACACATTCATAAAAACTTTTGTTTAATCATCTTCAAAAATTTGTTTATTTAATACTTTTCAAAAATTCTTTTACTTAATAATCTTCACAAATGTTTTCGTTTAATAATCTTCATATATTTTTTTATTTAATACTCTTCATAAAAACTTTTATTTAATAATCTTCATATAAATTTATGTAGCCGAAATGAGAAAACATGATTAGTAGTTATTTCTAGTTGTCTTAAAGAGCTGATTTGATGATTCGATTTTAGTGTATGAAACTAACCTTCTTGTATACCTCTCCATCATACCAACTGTTCTCTGATGGAGAATAATCAATGTCAATGTCAGAAAACTCTTTCGTCAACATACTTTCGGTAGTCATCGATATCCATATTCGATGCAAACTCAGAGTTTTCTAAAACACTCCGCACTGAGCAATTTTTTATAGTAAACGGACACGTTTATGTGGAAGCGTCATTGATATATCTGAAGAAAACCTTCGATATTACATCACTTGCTTGCACTGTCGTGCCGTTAGCTTGATTCACGATATTTTGATGTTGTTACTGATATTGTAAAATTGACTACCTTACTGTTCACATTGTTAGAAAAATTTTATTTCGTTTTTTTAAAATTTTTATTTTATTTTTTATGCTCTTTTTCCCATATAATAACACTTGACATTTGAAGTTAACGACGAAAAGGAAAGTATATATGTTGAATACAAATTCATTGATACAAAGTTTATACAAATAAAAAACGGTCAGCTTTTGCAGCTGCTCGTCTCAGTGACTTTTTCGGTGTAAGTTCATGTATGAGCAAAAATTCGATATTCTCGCAGCTCAGGATCAGTACTGATGTCCTTCACTTTAAATAACGTGAATGGTAGCAAAAGGACTTCTGCTTCGTCTACATACACGGACAGGCAAGGAAGTTGTTCTGATATTTTATTCAAGTTGATGGCTGTCGGACAAAGTTCTAGGAATTCGAGTTCAATTAAAACAGAATAACTAGAGTCATTGGAGCTTGTGCTCGCAAAACGAAACGCCACGGATTTTTTTAGTGACATTGATAGTAATGTTCGCGTTTTGAGGAGGTTTTCATGCCATGATTTTTCTTTTTTCAACGCCCATCGATAGGCGTCAAGATCATCGTCTGTCAAGATTGCTCCACAATATTCTCGCCTCGTCCTTGTAAAAACCTGTTTCCATTGTAATAGACCAGATAACGAAACGATACCTCGTGTATATTCATCATATCTCAATGATGGAATTCCATATGATTTTTTTACACTACAGAAAAATGAAACACAACCAGATGATTTATTATCTTGGAGTTCAAGCATCGAAATAACTGATCATTATGCTGCCTATTTGAATGGGTAAGCATCGAATAAAATTCTCTTGATCAGATTTATCGACTTTTCTTTATGTTGCTACATATATACTAGAAATAACCCGTGGAAAACCACGGACGCTCAGCATTTGTATATGTTGTAAGAATTTTCTATGTTGCAAGCTTCTGTAGAGTCGGAAAAACGGGCCATAAGTAGGGCGAGCGATGACTTCAAGTTTGAGTAAGGTGGTGCTTATGGTTCGTTCTAAAAGTTATGATCGAGTTTCTTGAATTAAAAAAAAGCTTCAGTTTACTTTGCATGCAATTTTATTGAAATAAATTCAAAGTTGGAAGACTTCCTTAAAAACAACATTGCGGGTAAATTGGTGTTCATCTCGCAGCAGTTGTCGTTGTTGGGAGTTTGGCTGAATTCGCACTTTCACTTGCTGGGGATTTCTTGATCGTGACAATGCGACATAGAGCTGTCCATGCGAGAAAACGGCAGTTTCGAGATCAATTCCGACATGATCGAATGTCTGTCCCTGAGATTTGTTGATCGTTATTGCATAAGCCGGAATGATGGGGAATTGTCGACGTCGCAGAATGAAGGGCAGAGTAGTGTCGCTTGGCGCCAAGTCAATTCTTGGGATGAAAACAGTGTCACCACGATTGCATTCTGAGATGATTTCTGCAGTGACGAAGTTGCGCTGAAGATCCCTTACGATCATTCGAGTACCGTTGCATAATCCCTTCTTTGGATTGAGATTTCTCAGCAGCATAATGATGACACCTCTCTTCAGCTCCAGAACATGAGGAGGCATGCCTGAAGGAGTCTGACCGTTCAGGAATTCGATTAGATAGTTCGCTGCATCATTCGGATCTTCTGAAACGACCGAATCTGCGCTGTAATAAATGGCCGGATCGCCAGGTAGCAGTCCAATGATCGTGCGGTTCATTTCGAGCGATTGTTCGTTGGTCGGAGCAACAATTACTCGTTTCGATAACTCCTCGACAGACATCTGATGAATGTTCGATCCAAATATGGATTCGATGAGATCCTCGGTAGCGATCATTTGTTGAGGAATCTCAATTGTGTCTTCGTGGAATATTCCTGGAACTGGCTCCAGACTTCCTGTTCCGACCTGAAGAAGCCAATCGTTGTGCTCGTTTTGACCTTCGCTGCGCATGTTCGTCGTCAGTGTGAATTGTGTGAAGCTGCTCCACAACTTGCTTGACTTGATACAGCATTCGATGATGTCAGCTCGTGTGCCTCTTGTCACTACTGGAAGAGTCTGTCGGAAGTCTCCTCCCACAACAAAAACTTTTCCGCCAAAGGGCTTCTCATTGTTTATTACCTCGCGAAGAAGCTTATCGATGCAGCGGAGACCGTGCTTTGGCAGCATTGTGATTTCATCGATGATGATGAGCGATGCTTGACGAAGCACTTCAGCCTCCTCAGAGTTTGGTCTTAGCGATGAAACGGAAGTATCGAGCAGTGGAACCGGTAGCTTGAATCCACTGTGAATTGTTCTTCCTCCTTTCAGAAGAGTTCCAGCGATTCCCGTTGTTGCAAATGGCAGCACGATCTGTCCTCTTCCGCGGATAAATGCCATTAGTGTTGTGTAAAGGAATGTTTTCCCGGATCCTCCAGGACCGTCGAGATAGAAACAGCGATGCTCAACATTCTCGTCATCGATGGCACCTACGATTTTTCCGAATGCATCCAATTGCTTGTCGTTGAGTATCGCAACGCGTTCATCGCCTTCGCGTGCTTCTTCAACTGGATCGTAGAGCTGGGCTTCTGGTGCAATTCCGATTGGTGTTGGCAGACCGATTAGTGCGCAAGACAATCCGTGTTGTTTGAGAATCGCGTTGATGTCATGTAGTGCCATGTTTATTGCGGCGTCATCGGTGAAACGTCGCATGTAGTCGAGAGCCAGGTCGACGACATATTTGTTCCACAGTTCAATTGGTTGGGAGGGCTGACAGAAGCAACAAATGTAAGCGAACGTTTCACGCAATTGCTTTGGCATTTCATAGGTGGAAGCTTCACGTAAGCAGCGGTCCCACTCCTCGTCTGACTCAAGAAGTCCTCGCGCCGATGCAGCTTCTTTGAATGTTGGATAAACCGTTCCGGTGAATGTTCGTATCGATTCAAAGCTTGTTGCGCCACGAACATGAAGGAGCAGCAGTCGAAGGTAAAATCGTTCTTCGTCTTTGAAGCTCACGGTGTACATGCGTGACACAACCTTTCCTCCTCCTCTTTGTCGCGGTTTCCAGACTGCTCGTACGTAGACGTAATTGTATGGAATGTCTACGTAGAGGTACTGTTGTGCGTCTCCATCAGTTTTGTTCAGCTCGAACCATGCCTCCAATTTCGTTCGACCAGTTTGTGCTGCCAGCAAGGCTTCTTCTTCGTGTCCTTGCTCGAATGTGATGCGCTGTTGATTCGGCAGGTGAACGGGCAGTCTCTGCACCGCGTGCGAACGATCGTGCATTTTTGATTCAAGAAGTCGCCACATTGCGTCTGGTGCACTAACATATCGAGCGTCGATGTAGTTGGCGATCTCGTTGTATCGGAGTTCCTGCTGACCGTCTGATCTGATGGCGATGTTCGCGCAATCAAATCCTTTGAAGATGTACTTGTAGATGTATTTGATTGCTTTCAAAGACGTACAAACTTCAACATTGATGTGCGCATTGTATTTCAGCAGCAAGTACGGACTATATGGCACGACGTATCGATTGTCTATCACCACTCCTCTAACCTTTACTTGGGCAGCGCTGCGGCGCCGATACACTGGATAACCGTCGACATTCGGCTTCGTCGTATCATTGAACTGCTTTGGAAACTGTTTCTTGCATTTGCCATCTTCCATGCAAGGCGCGTGGCGATTGTTGTTGCCGCACGGTCCGTGCGTCATACATCTTGTGACGATCTCATGTAGGTGAGGATTTTCTGCTTCAGCAGGAATTTCCGCGCTGACGAACTGATCGATTCGCTCTTCAGTTGTAAACTTATCCTCTGCGCGCAAAGTCACCAAAATATGAGCGTGTGGTAAGCCTCGCTTTTGGAATTCGATGCTGTATACAAAAGCTTTTGCTTGTCCAAACCCGCCATGCACGATCAAGTCATCCATCAACGATTTCAATTTAATGGTGAAAACTCGTGCAACCAAATCGGGACGGTCTGGTGTTTGTTCGCCTGGACGTAAGTTCTCCGTGATCTCTAGCCACTTGTGGTTTACCGTGAATGTAATGAAGAGATCAGGCGCGCCAAACTTTGCGGATATGGACATTGCATCGTTGCAGCGCTCTCGCATGTTTCTCGGTGATCCTTCGAAGCTTGAAGGCAGAATAACTGCGACGCCAGCGGCTATGTTCGCATTCTGTGCCAAATTGGCGACATGATCGGCGAGTCCTTGATAGCATTCTGCTCGTAATGCTTGTTGATTCAGTCGAATGAAGTTCAAGTTGTTTGCTTCCACCTGAAGATACGAATCCACCAACCATTGCTGCGTCAATTTGCCAGCGCTCATGATTGGGTTGAAGTCATCGCGAATGGCTGTTTGTGCCACTTTGAACTGTAGCATGTTGACTTTCGTGCGAACAGGATTCAGCACAGCTCCTTCGTACGCTTCGCACTCCCAATTTGGTTGCCACCCAGGTTCGCCGTATGGAAACAGGATTGCGTAAGACATTGGATCCAAGTTTGGGCTCAAGATGTTGATGTTGATGAACTGTTGGTTTGGATCCGCAGGGTTTCGCGGATAGATGCGGATGTCACGCTCGAACGGTGGCTCACCGTCTTCGTTCACGAACACCATAGCGACTTCGTTCGATGTCGGTGCGTTATAGCGACGTTGATCCGACTGCCGATCTCGTCGAAACACCATGCTGACCACCGGAATCTGATCTCCTGCCTGTGCTGCTTGTCGCGCTGCTTGAGCTTCTACTTCGCGCATCATCTGATAACTCCTCGCGATTCTGTTGTGTTGTCGGAAGAAGCGATCGATTTGATCTAGAATGCGCGGGTAGCACTGTTCATTCGCTCGATGTTTCTGACGAATGTCTGTGGCTTGAGTGCTGTCCAGTACGTAAAGTTGAGCGAATTGTGGTGCCTGTGGCGTTGCTGGCTGAAGATGCGACGTCTTGTGGTACGTCTGACCATGTACCTTGAAGACGTATGGGCCCCTTCCTGGCACGTCGACGATTTTGGCGCCCATTGATGCGAATGACACAGCGTTGTTGTACGATCTGATGTTCTCACGAAAATGTGTACGGGTCGGAGCAGCTGTGTCGGACAGCAGTGTGCGGAGAAACTCGGGATATGCCAGCTCGACTCCGTTTCCAGCCTTGGGCTTAGGTAGCTTGACTTTTCCTTTGCGACAGCAGCTGGTGAATTTTCTGTCCGACGGGCGCTCAGCCTTGAAGTTTCTCGATCGACATAACTGACAGATTTCATTCATTGGACCGCAATTGTGGGCAACAACGCGATTCTCTTTGAAGTGAATAGCCTCTTCTCGGATCTGATAGCTTCGTCGCTCTTGGGCTAAGCGCTGACCTTCGGCAGCAGCTGCTCGTCGTGATTGCGATTGCTCGGGCGTTTCCAGGTGATGGCTCTGTTGATGAGATTTGGCATTTGCAGCTCGTCGTGCTTGAGACTGTTCTGAAGTCTCTAATTGACGCTTCAAGCGTTTTGCTTCAGCTTCTTCTGTTCGAATTCTATCGAGAGTTCCTTGACTTTGACGCGCTTTCCATCTTTCCTTCCTCTCTCTGGCTAAACGACGCTTTCGTGCTACCGGATCTTCGTTTTCATCCATGGTTTTCAATTTAATAAAATATATTTAACAGCGATGATGCGATGTTGATTTCGATTGAAGCTCAATGAATTTACCGAAATTTTAATGATTTCTCCTTCGCTGGCTGTTAAACGTTGACCAGAACCCTTTTCGGTTTGTTTGCGACGCACTGGAAATCAAAATTTCTGTTTACATGCGATGTTCCAACGAAAACTTGCACAAACTTACGAAGTTTTTGTAATTTTTCTTTCACTGGATCTTCAGTGACGCTCTGGAATGCACAATTTCTATTTACATTCGAAAATCCATCGAAAAGGTTATTGATCTTACCAAACTTCAGTGAATTTCTGCGGATAATAACATGCTTCAAAGAAAATTGATGCCCCGAGATTGCTCAACATTAGGTTTTATTACCACTTTAATTAAAAACTGTTTTTTTGGGTTTTACCCAATAGATGGCGCTGTTTAGTGTCTTGGGAGCGTTCCGAACAGAAGGAAATCAGATTTTTTTTGGCTTTGCTTATATGGGCTTTTCTTATATTTATCTCGGCACTAATTGTATAATTAGCCTAATTAGGATAATTAGCCTAATTAGGGTAATTAGCTAATTGAAATCTGACCTCGGATGCGGATTCCCCACCCCAAATCACCGACAGGTCAAAATGTACCAAAACTATTGATAATTAGGCCTAATTAGGGTAATTAGCTGATTGAAATCTGACCTTGGATTCGGATTCCCCACCCCCGGTTACCCTCTGATCAAGTTTTAAAGTCGTTTGTGTTTTGGGTTTTACCCAATACATTGGCGCTGTTTAGTGTTTTGGGAGCGTTCCGGACAGACAGACAGACAGACGGACAGATATGTCTTGACTATTCTTATGTATATAGTATAACGATGTCATGCATAATTCCCCTCCGCGGCGGAACCATCCGTAAGGAAATTTCATGATTTGGTAGGTTGGTAGCTTGGTAGCGTAATCTCATCGCAAACCATGAACTACAAAATTCAGACACCTAGACCAACTCACCTATCTACCAAGCTACCAAGCTACCAACCTACCAACCTACCAAGCTACCAGCGTATCAAGCGACCAAACGACCATACTGCCATACCAAGCTACCAACGTACCAACCTACCGACCTACCGAACTACTGCGCTACCAAGCTACCAAGCTGCCAGGCTACGAAACTACCATACCAAACAAACCTCCACTGAACGATTCAAGCTGGTATAGGGTCTCCTGCACACCCAACCTGCCGCGGATATACTTTCTGATGTATGTTTTCATTTCGCGGCGGATGGGAATAGTTCATCCTGTGAGTATAACTGTGTTTTTAATGTAACAGTATAGTTCATATTTAATAATAAATGATCCAACAGATAATTTAGTTTTAAATTTAATTGAAAATGCATAATAGAGATCATCGCGATCAATTAAATCAATTATAGAAATTCATAATTTATTGCGAATATTTTCAAGTATGTTGAAATTGTATGATTCGTTTTTTGAAAACAGAACATAAATAAATCTTTCCTAAATTCCTAATGACCATAACAATAGGCAGAATGCTATAAAAGTGTAAATTCAAGTATTCCGACATATACAAGACTAATTAGTCTTGAGTATTAGGTACTTTAATGGTGTTCAGAGAAAATTGCAGTTTTTTATGAGAATAAGAACTACAGCAGAATGGTTTTTCTACTCGTTGAGGTTCCAAAGACGTTTTTCATTTAATGTTCATTCCACAATGTTGCTTCAGAATACTTTTCTTCTACAACATTTGAGAAATTCGATTAAAAAATAAAAGATGAAAATCGGCTTGTTCCCAAGCAATGTACTTACTCTTAGTTGTTGTAAAACTACAATCCTTCTTAGAAATTATACCTCTGCAAGCGACACTCTTAAGACTTTGGTTAACCGTCGACGTCTGCTCGTGCTGTTTGTGTTTAAGTATCCAATTTTCCACATTTGGAACAATATCTGTGGTTAGTATCACCTTTAATAACTTTCAGAAATCAACAAAATCACCAACTTGTTCAGTATATGGTTGTTGTTCTGTTGGTTATCACTAGTTTCACTATTTATTCAGTATTTAAATTAATAATTTCAGTATTTAACTTATATCAAGTTAGCGAGAAAACACGTATTCAACCATTAGGCAAACGAAAATCAAAAGGACGCTCCAAGAAAGTTAGCACAGCTTTAAGTTTGTAAATAGATGTAAATAAAACTGTAAAAATATTGTCTCGGTTAATATGTTGTTATATTTGTACATTATACTCTGCTGAAAAAGAAAAATGTGAGATACATGCTGGAAAATTTGGTGATAAAAAAAAATTAATACCCAGAGGTGTGCATGTTTCATTAAAACATTACCAGTCCTTCGTTCAGAAAATGAAATACACAATAATGGATGTCATATCAGCCATGTGCAAACTGTATTAAAAACTGAATGGTTAAACGTTTATGTGATAACGAATGAACAAATAATATAATGTTTCATTTACTTTAAGAATATGTTTAGTTTAACTTTTTTCGTTTCGTTCTTCTCGTTTACTCCTTTTCTTTTTATTGTATACGTTTTACTTCATTTGATTTCTCTTCATAACATTTTGTCTATGAATCATTACATTTAGACAACTTAGTACAATATTTTTTGGCGATTCTAAGTTTTCTGATGTCCTTATATATATTGTGCTTTCTTTCGGCTTTTTACCTTTTACCATAATAAATAGTTTAAACCAAATCAAAAACTTCTCTCAGGAAGCCTTAACGATATTTAACTTTTCAATGATTTTTTTGGCTTCTCTTTGTCCACTTTCAAACGCACTATCGACACATCCAATTGTGCTACCTTCATTTGTATGCTCTCCAGCCCAATGTACACGATTTAAAAAACATTCTTGACTTAAATCAAATACAATTTGCTCTGTTGCATTGACTGCAAAATTCGAATATGAACCATAAGCGAATGGATCGTGTGACCAACGTGATATAAGAAATTTTAATGGATTCGGTATGAGTACTTCATTTGACTCAAACAATGTTCGTAGTATTTTCATAACACGTTCAATCGATTCTTGATCAGTCAATGTTTCAATTTCATAAGCAAAATTACCCGTTGTAAATATAACGAGTATATTACAATTTTCATTGGATAAATTGTACTGTGCATGTAAACTATACATACAACGAAACTCTCCTCTTATCAAATTACTTGTGCGATTGATATAAGTGGCAGAATTCCAGAAATTGTATGGAAATTGTAGAATAATTTTATTCATAAGGCCAAAACCCATTTGTCTGATAGCGGCCAGTTTCCATTCTGGTAATCTTGGATGAAACATAATTGTTTCTTTTTTCAAGCAGCCTAAAGGGATCGTTATTAATAAATATTTACATGTGTAATTTGTATGATTCGTACGAATTTCGATTAGTGATCTATCACTGGTATCAACATGCGTGACAATAGTGTTGAGACGAACGGGAAGATTATGACCAATTTTTTGTAATAAAAGTCCATAGCCATACTGAACAAATTTGTCACATTCAAAGTCTCCATTACCAGCCTCATAATACGTAGCTGACAATTTTTCTAAATTCGACGCTTCATACTGCTCTACACCACCCATTATTAAATCTACAACACGTTTACATTGAGGTAATAGTCCTTGTACTTCTTTCTCATATGCGTGTTCAATTACTTCAGCTATTGACACATCTGTTGCTTGTTCTTTTAAAACTTTATTTCGGTAATCATCAACAATATTAAATAAAGTTTGTGCTATTCTTTGCGCTTTTCTCGTGACATGTAGTGGTATGCTACTACCATCATAATCATATAATAGATCAGTATGCCATTGATTATCAGCTAAAAGTTCTCCATTTTGTGTATATTTATACAATGGATTATTAGGCGAATAATGGTGAATCCAATTGGCACCCAAATCAACGGGTATGCCGTCCAACATTTTTGTATATGCTCTACCTCCAATGCGGTCACGTGCTTCAAGTATAACGAATGACGATATGTTAGCTTCGTGTAAATCTATACCAGTTGCAATTCCTGCAGCACCACAACCAACAATAATTACATCAAAATATTCTGATTCAGACATCTTTCTAATGTTACTTTATGGTTTTAGGCCGATAAGTAGTGGTTATTTCGAAAGTCTTAAATATAGACACTATGATGAAATTACATGTACAATATTGCGCAATAATGGGAAAGCTATTAATAATAGATGTAAGTTTTTATTTTTTTCTTACCTGTGAAACACATTGCTTGCACATGTCATCTAAGTGTTTACGTGGCAGAATGAATTGGTATTGCGTTATGTACTGTATCAATTCAACTTATAAGTAAATGTTATGGTGAATAAAATATAAAATCGAATGATATGTCTGATTTAGAAAAGTAATAACTGAATGAGTTTTTACACCATTTTATTATCTGTCTTAACGAGTCCCACTAAATCCCAGGTCGCTAATAATTCTATAATAATGTCAACTCAATTCGATTTCTCGTAGAAATAACAAATATACGAAAAAATTATATCCTAATGTATAGAAAGATGTAGAGGAAGACCAAAATTCATGTTCAGAAAAATGAAATTTCCGAATTAAGTTAACAAAACTCTCGTTCGTATTCACTATGTCGATTTCTGTGTTGTTGCAGTTTGAAAATTCTTGTGATGTTGCAAAATTCTCTTAGGGAAAAGTAAATTTTAAGAACTGGTGTAATCGGAACTTCCTCAGAACTCATCGGACTAGATGCATGTGTTTCTAAATCCGATGACCTGAACGAATATTGTTAGCCTACGAAACAATTGTGTATGGATCAGAATGTGAATTTTCTTAAACTGAATTTTGAACAGGGTACGTTAAAGGATGGACTACATCCAAATTTTTTTGGTTGTCGTGTAATGTATGATGGTTTTTCCTCTTGTTTATGACAGATTCAGGCACGTTCAGAAGACTCGGATGTAAATTCACATTTCTCCCTCAGTTCACAATCTCCACCTTCAACCACTTTTTTGAAAATATTCTCACACAATATACAGAGTCTCCCAAAGTACATTGAAGAATTGAAATCTATAGCACTCGCAGAAGAACCAGCAATTATTTCTATTCAGGAAAGTTTTACAGATGAGTCTATATTAGACCAGGAAATTTCTATACCAGGATATTTGATGTACAGGAATGATTTTACCAGGAAATCGCAAGGAGTAGTGACTTATATAAGTCAAGAAATTCAACATTCTGTAATTGCGAAATCTAACAATGCTATGGCTTTGCTGCATGAAATTAAAACTGATGCATGTCCTTTTCGTTTTTGTAATGTTTACCGTCGTCCATCTTCTCGTAAAATTTATTATGATAGTCTGTTTAAATTTCTTCTTGAAAATTCATGGAAAGATATTTCTTTAATTTTATCAGGTGATTTCAGCATAAATACAGAAAAAGCTCCTACTGATTTTAGAGAAATATTACAAACATCTTCTTTAACACGTGCTTTTAAGTGTTTCACTACTCATAAGCGCACAAAAATAGATAACATATTTTGTTCAAAAGAATGGGATGAACCGAGTACAAAAACACATCTAGAAATAGGTAAATCACCACATTTTTTGTTAGAAGCGAAATCTAACTTTCAAATAGAAAATCAACCAAAACAAGAACAATCTCAACTAGACTACGAAAATTGCGATTTAAATCTTTTGCGTCGAATAGTTTCAGTAGTTGACAGTAAATTTTATCTTTCTAATGATGTAAACGAAAAAACAGAAATTCTATTAAACCATTATTCTAACTGTATAAAAGCTTGTGTCCCGTTGAAAAAATTATCCTCTAAAATTCAACCGAATTTTAGACCATCAAAAACAACAAAACAATTAATACAATATAAAAAGAAAGAGTTTTACAAAATGAAACGTCAACAATCACTTGTGAAAACCATACAATATGAAAAATTGCGCAATAAGGTATTAAATTCTATACGTGGAGATAAATATCGTCATTTTTCCAAAACTAAGGCACAATTTTCAGATTCGAAGATTTTTTGGAAAGGTTTAAATAGATTTTATAAAGGTTTTTAGATTATTCGAGTAGGTTGGAGAATGAAAACGTTAACGTGTGTACAAATACAGATAAGGCAGAAATGTTTTCTGAATTTTTCTCTATTTGCTATAAGTCTTCTTCTTCTGTTACTGCACCTACTAATCAACTAATTTCAACCCCAAGTAAACTTAATTCTATTTCTTTTTCAGTAACGGACGTTAGTAATATGATAAAACAGTTAAAAAACAAGCGGTCAGTAGGATTAGATGGAATCCATGTAAGATTTTTAAAACTGTGTGACGATGTTGTATCTACACAACTTCATCATCTTTTTCAATTTTCCATTCAAGAGGGAATCTTTCCCAAAATATGGAAAACAGCTTTAATTAGGGTGATTCATAAAAAAGGAGCTCGTACTCAGTGTACTAATTATCGTTCGATTTCATTTTTATCGAACCTTAGTAAAGTTTTTGAAATGTTAGTACACAATTCACTATTAAGTTATTTGAATAAAACGTGGTTTTTCTCGCATGTACAGTTTGGCTTTCGACCTAATTCATCTACTGTAGATGCTTTATTGCATGTCACTATAGAATGAGCGAAGCTTTTAGAAAGTAAACAGTTAGCGGTTGGTGTTGCTTTTGATTTTGAGAAGGCGTTCGATCGGGTAAATCATACTGTTTTGTTAGAGAAGATTGCTAGAATGGGTGTATGTGATTCTTTACTTGAATGGTTTAAATGTTATTTAACTAACCGGCAGCAAACAGTAGTCGTAAATAACCAAAAATCTAATGTTGTGCACGTAACTTCTGGAGTACCCCAAGGCAGTATCTTGGGACCTCTTTTGTTCTTGGTTTTTATCAATGACCTTAGTCAGATGTTTCCATCTAATATCACCGCATCACTCTTCGCAGATGATGTGTTTAGTCTTATACCAGTTCAAAATTTTGAGAATTTCACAGAAGTTCAAAACTTCGTTGATTTAATGTCAAACTGGTGCACGAAGAACGATATTGAATTAAACATAAATAAATGCTTTTACATGCCTTTTTCAAATTCTAACTACCAGAAAAATATCCACCAATTCATTTTGCTGGGAAACAACTTTCAATTGATAAAAATATAAAATTATTAGGAGTATATCTCTCACCGGATCTTACGTGGAAACATCATTTAGAAAAAACTAGCAAGAGGTGTAGACAAATGTTGGGAGCTTTAAATAGAACTTTTAAGAGCGCACCTGAGTTTATTAGGCTTCATATTTACAAAGCATGTATTTTACCTGTTATGGATTACTGTTGTGTTTGATAATGATTTCAAAACTTATTTAGATTTACTAACTTCAACACACAAATTTGCTGCGCGCATTATAACGAACGACTACCATTCTAGCAGTTCTTCTCTTTTTAAAAGGCTGAAGTTGCCTGATTTAGAAAGCCGGCACAAATACTTTAGGTTAAAGTATTTTCATAAAATGATTATAGGAAGAAGTGCATTGTCATCTTTTTCACTAGTAAAACCACTAACTACTCGAGCTTCGGCTCGACTTTCAAACCGATGTGCTTGGGAGGTACCGAAATATAAACGAAAAAACACAAGTTCATCTTTCTTACCTAAAACAATTTTACAGTTGAATGTGTTGCCAAGGGAGGTAATTTCTCAATTTTCCATTCTAGTCTTCACACGTGCCTTAAGAAAACATTTAAAGTTGTAACAACAGTATCTTATAAGCCATATTTGTTTTACTGATTTCCTGCGTTTTTTGTTCAAACGGTGAATTAATTTTGTAATGAACAGGAGAATGAAAGACACCGTATACATTTTGTGTACATCGTACACCATTATAATAATTGGAATGCCAAGATTTTAGCTGTTGAACCGAATGACTTTAAAAGAACAATCAAGGAAAGCCTTCTTATGGATTATAAAAGAAAGGCAAGGAAGGATGTGTACTCACAAAAAAGCTTTGAACTTAAAAGTTTTGGATAATCTAGAGAGACACACACTTCCCGGGAGAGGTGAAAATTTGAAAATTTGTTGCGTAATAACGTTATTACGCAACAAGTTTTGCGTTCTGTACTTCATTTTATCTGTTTCTTTTCTTTCAAACAGTTTGTTTATTTTGAAAAAATTTTGACCGAAGAAGCACTAGTAGTGCGAAACGTCTCAATAAACAAAATGTATACGGTGTCTTTCATTCTCCTGTTTATTACATATTTGTTTTAACTTTTTCTTTTCTTCTTTTTCTTTGACTTTCTATATCTTCTTTTGTATTTTTCTGTACGGTGTGACTTAGTCAAAGCTCTTTAGAACTTTTTTGTCATCCCTGTCATTTAACATCGTGACTTTAAATAAATAAATATATATGGGTTAATCCATGGGTATCCAACCACTTTTTGGAAAAAGTTTTTTTATCGACTTTTTTCGTTCTAGTTAGCTGGGGCGTGGTCAGAAAACAGCTTTGGCCGAAAAAAATTGCTGACTTTCACCTTGAATGAGAGAGATCTGGAGCTGCTTCTAGGAACATCTAATGAGGGTCATCCAAGTTATTTCAAGATTTTGGGCTCATATTTTGCCCATTGGTAGAGGACCACTAGACTAGCATAACCTCCAAAGGATTCTTCTTTTGACTGAGATTTGACCGAGATATGAATGCTTCAAAGCAAAATATTTTTAGAAAAATTATAAAAGAATGAAAAATCTATCTTTTGAAACATTCATATCTCGGTCAAATCTCAATCAAAAGTAGAATCCTTTGGAGGTTATGCTAGTCTAGTGGTCCTCTACCAATGGGCAAAATATGAGCCCAAAATCTTGAAATAACTTGGATGACCCTCATTAGATGTTCCTAGAAACAGCTCCAGATCTCTCTCATTCAAGGTGAAAGTCAGCAATTTTTTTCGGCAAAAGCGGTTTTCTGACCACGCCCCAGCTAACTAGAACGAAAAAAGTCGATAAAAAGCTTTTTCCAAAAAAGTGGTTGGATACCCATGGATTCACCCATATCATGATTCCACACATCATACCATCTTTTTACTGTCTTATGACCACCTTTAATTTGAAAATTTTGCAAGGTAACGAAAACTTATTGATGGATCTGACTTTGTGTAACACTCAAGTACTCGTTCCTTGAACGTAGCATCGTAATAACGAGATACTCATCTTCAATTAAAAATTTAATACAAACAAATGAAAGATAAAAATAAACTTTTGATGTGCAGAGCAATTTGTTCCCTATTGTTAAGTTATATTTTCTCCTGCGTTCCCCAGTTTATTTATGCAGACTAGTCATATGCGTGCTCTTAGAGTTTGACCAATAGAGTAAGAATACATATGAATATAAATAATAATTCTTGTCTTTATTTAGATACATAAAAACAAAAAAGTGGGCGAGACTTTTGGCCGCTACTGTAGATAAACATAGAGAAAGTTTACGGTATCACAGCTCTTGTTTGTCCTCATTATACTTTCAACCTTTTGATTCTGTAAAAAAGAAAACTTTGATTTAATATTCTGTTTGTAACCTTAAACGTACAACATAATAGGCCTTGTTGCTTACCATAAAAAAAACATACAAAAAATATTAGTTAAATATGGTCAATCGGATTATATATATGTGAATAACTATGGGTAGACCTAAGTATTTGGCAGATAAATTTTGAACGAATCGAGATAAAATTTTCGGTCGTTCGTAAATCTTCAGCTGGTAATTCTAGTCCGCTCCTCAAAGTTTTAAATTGATCCCATCTGCATGGAACAATAGCTTACTCTTCCAAGGTGACCTCACTAGTTATTCGTGAAATAAATCTCAACAATTATATATGAATCGATGCGCTGGATAAGTCTCTTTCCAAGGGCGAAAAACGCACTTCTTTATTTAGTTCCTATCAAAAGTTATGCAAAACATACTCACCCGCCTTTTTCTTCAAATGGGCAGTAGAAAATCAAAATATCGAAGTAATACCTGTTCTATTTTCTAACCGTATGCTGTTTTTAGGTTTTACTAGCGCGTACTATTAACTGCACTATAGATTGTACTCTTATGTTTTTAGATTATGACATTGTCGAACTGTCTTTTAAGTGAATCTGCAAAGTTTCTTTTTGATATTCCGTCGATTGAAATTGCATCAACTCTTCGTAAACTAGATTTACGAATTCATAGAAATGCTGAAAAGAGGTTATTTCATATAACTAAACTGATTAATCAATTTTATAACCTTACCATGAATGAGAATGAAATACAATGTCATCTTGATAACTGGGATTATCTGGCACCACCGTTCAATGACAATATTATTGGTATGACCGACACTCAAATTACATGTAATATAAAACAATATATGCTCGAATTTCCAAATAATCATATATGTTCGTTATTGAATTGTTATCTGCCGGAGAAAACAATTTGCTGCGGTAAACTTTTATCACCACCAAGACCGTTTCAAGATATACGTATTTTTCATTTGAGCGAATCATCTTCAAGTGGTACATTGTATTATAGGAAGTGTGGGGTTTGCAACATTAAGTATTATTATAACTATTATGAAAATAGATGGAGATAAATTTTGTATGATAAACAGTGATTCCACATTTATTTGTTTCTTCTCGAATATTGCTTACGACGTGAAACTCTTGTATCATCTTGATAATGATATACTGTTCAAATACTGTGGCTTTTCGAATTATACAAATGCATATAATATGTATTGTGAAGCGGCTGGAATAGTAAATCATAAGTTAATGGACCGATTTCATGTGGAGATAACATGGTTTTTATGGAGATTATGCAAATTCTTTGGTATGGATGTGAAGATTAAAGTGCCATTTGAAAAAGATTTTGATAAAGAAGTTTTGTCGTTACAAAAAGATTGTCTTGATCATTTTATCAGACGATGGAGTTCAAAACGTCATCAATCATATTGCAATGAAGACTGTTGTAAGTTGCTGGTGCTTGATGGACATCAAAAAGCAACCAGACGGGTTTGTGCCTACAAAACTGGTACAATTCCAAACGAAGAGCTAGGAGCTATCAAAGTTGGTTATCCACATTTACCGGCCTACAAGAATACATATTGTTTGGAGCATATTGGCTTCAGAAAATTCGAGGAGGATTGCGTCACGAATGCACGAATACCACAATCATTGTTTTGACGCTTTACGTATTTAAAACCGAAACTTTCGGTCACAAACGGCAACCATTATTATTTATATACATCATAGAGAAACGAATATCATCGGTTATGATCTAACTGAATTGAAGAAAAGCGATCAGAAATCAAATTTTCTAAATTCAAAAGTATCTTTGACAATGGGAACTTCAATTTTCAATCGATATATATTGAAATGAAAACCATTTCAACTGCCGAATAGATAGATCATCAAGAGAAAACATCTCGTCTCCTGTGTGTGGTTGTGTCCAACCATTTTTCAGTTTTGGGAGTCCTTATATTTCATTCTAACACTTGACGTTCTAGATAAATGTTGCCATTGTTGTTGATGACACGAATAATTTCATATAGTTGTCCGTTTGTTGATCAAATAATTGTTGTGGAACAAGTACGTCACTAACATAATTTGTTGCATTAAATATTTCTAAATTGTTATAAATAGTTAAATTTGTCAACTCGCATAATGACTACAACATTAGAAATAGGGAACGACCTGTGTACCGAAAATCATATGATCACGTACCATCGAAATATGTGCCATAGTTGTTAGTAATATAAACGAACCATTCATTCGACACAAAATCACTTGAACATAATTGATGATAAATGGGTTCTATATGAATGAATTTATCATAGGAAACAGATATGGTTGTACATGGACATGTCAATATCTGAGAATATTTATCATATAATGAAATGTATTGTTGATAGGATGGTGATTGAACTGTAACTGTCTGAGTGATGGTATCAATGACGTGTAGAGTAGTAGAAGAACTGTTGATATAATTAGTAGAAGAATACATATACGAGTGGATATCAGTTCGTTTCGAATGTCATGTTCATCGGTTGAGGGTGGATAAGACGGAAATAGATTAAATGGTCTCACAAATTTTTTCAGTTTTTCATATAAATTATGAAAATCCTGAAGAAATCCCATTCTTCTAAAACTAATGCACGCAGACTATCTGAAAAGAATCTATGTCAGCAACAGATAGGAGTAAAATCTAGCGAAAAATTGTTCTGGATGGTGTAAGAGAAACAATTTTTGCTGTGCGAGCAGTAAAAACGAAAAAACATTTTCATTTCCGCTGGGAGGAAATTATAAGTTTGTGTCGTCCCCACACTCCCTCAAAGTTTACGGTTCTGAGCATCTGCAGTCGAAGTGTTAATCTTAATAAGGATGATGACTATCTATTTTAAAATTGAACAGAATTTCAAGATAGACAGACGTTTTTAGCCGCTGCATTAATAGTCATGTCAACATATCGTCAAAAAAAGCTTGCGATTAGTTGTTTAGTATGTCAAGCATCAAAACAAGTTTTAGCTCAAAAGGACATTTCGATCTAAAGATATAAATAGTGTACAAATAGCTGTCGCAGTTTGCTTGAAGGAAAATTTTGAGTGGCGTGCCAATGTAAAATTTTCGCGACAATCACGATAGATATAATCGCGATCTTTTTATCATAACTACTCTACAGTGACCGTGACACGACATTACCGCGAAGACTCGTTTATTGGAAAAGAAGAATAAAAGAGCCTGGTTTTGTATTTTGTGAGAGCAAGTTCGAAAAGTAGTTTCACAGAAAATATATTTTCGTATTGCGAAACTAGATATCTGTGATTGTATTTAGATAATGACTAGTCACCACATAACTTCAGTTAAGTTTGAAAACATGATGTACAAAATACAAAACCAGGCTCATTTATTCTTCTCTTCCAATAAACGAGTCTTCGCGGTAACGTCGTTCGCGTAATGTCGTTCCCGGTAATGTGGTTTGCGCTATTGTCGTTCGCGGTATTGTCGCTGTATCACAGTGGCCGCTGTCTAGCCAAAATCACTACATTTTATATATATATATCAATTGGGGCTGATATTTCACATCAAAACCGAAAAATTAAAATGACTTGTATTCTCATTAAGCTGAATCGCTGTGCTTCGGATTAGTTCTGTTCAATTTGGAATAGACAATGTCGGTACACAAAAAACTTTTCACAAGTTTTAATGGTAACTCTTATTAATAGAGCACGATTTTTTCTATAGTTCAGTATTTTTATCTGGAAATACTGCTTGGAAACAGAAAAGATATATCTACTATCGTCGCCAAAATATAATATCCGTGGCTATTTTTGAATAACGTTTGATAAGAATAAAATAGAGACCTGCGGTTTTCACCATTGTGTTACTAAGATCTTGAGACATGTTT